ATCAGTACAGGAAGATAGAGCTGAAGCAGAATGGGACAGCATCATATGAAGGAGCTAGCTGAGGAGTCAAGAGCCCAAACAAGGTAAAGAGGCATCAAATATGGGAATGCAGTCTGCCCATCGTGGGGTGTTGGAGCCCTGGTGCAGTGATGGCAGATTCATGACATATAGGGAAACTGATCAAACTAGTAAATACAATAAGAATGTAGTCAGTTTCTTGAGTCTCATTCTCTTCATGTATTTAGCAAGCAAATGCCCAATCTTGGTTAAATTCAACTGTCCAACTTATTGCTTGCCACTGAATAATTGAACAAGAGTGAAAAAACACAGTCACAACAACTGGTCTCTCTTTATATTTTCATACATAAACTTCAAGACTCCTGACACTGTCATGCAACCCTATAACATTTTCCTAGTCAATTTATTTTATGAGGTAAAAACTATTTCACACATTTTTGAGCCTAAATCAACCCTTTCTCCCACTCTAGGCCAATAACTTCATGTCTTTTTTCCATTGTGACTACAGAAGCAACCAAAAGAGAACTTACTATTCTTTCACTGCTTACTTTTCCAATCATGTATTGTTACATTAGATAAACAGTGCACCCTCCTATTAATCCTTCCAGCTGGGCAATGAATCCTATCTCTTCTTGTGTACTCAAGGATTTTGCTCTGCAAATATCCCCTCTCTTGCATCAATTTTTCCCTTTATCCACAGTCATTCTTATTAGTCTACAATTTGTAATGTTCTAGAATGTCCGATTTTAAAAAACATAACAAAATAAGAATAACCAACTAACCACCTCTTTATCTTTTATGCCTCTTTAGCTATTGCCCTATTTCTGAGTTAGTTTAGCAAAACTCATAAAATTATTCTAAGTTTCACTTCCTTGCCTCCTCCTTTCTCTGAAACTAGTTTTATCAAAAGCAGCTATGAGTTCCATGTACCCAAACATTCCTCTTAAGTACTAGCATAGGTAGAGTTGATAGCTCCCACCTTGTAACACTTTATTTGCTTGTCTTCCAAGATATAATTCTCCCAATTTTCCTCTTTATTAATTGTACTTTAGTATCCTCTGCTGTTTCCTCCTCTTTGTGATCTCTAAATCCATTAGCTCTAGAGTTCCAGGTCTTGGATCTTTTCTATTTACTCTCCCCATTTGAATTAACCAAACCTTTTAAGTTAATATATAGAATTAAGTGTATATATCAATGTTTTCTATTTTTTTCTCTAGGTCTAACTACTTGCTTGGATAAACTTCTATTTGCCAAATGGACAGCTCTTCTGGATATCTAACAGGTCCCAAATTTACATGTTTAAACCAGATCCACCCAAATCTCTTTTCTAGAGTTCCCCTATTACAACAAATGGTCAAATTTTTTAAAAAAAAAATATTTATTTTTTTAGTTCCAGGTGGACACAATATCTTTATTTTGTTTCCAGGTGGTGCTGAGAATCGAACCCAGTGCTTCACCCATGCCAGGCGAGGGTGCTATCACTTGAGCCACATCCCTAGCCCAATGGTCAAACTTTTTTAACCACCTGTTCAAGCAAAAAAAACCTTGAAATCATGCTTGGTGCTTTTACATCTCTCATTCACTATTATCCAAATTATTACCTCATCTGTTGGTTCTACCTTCAAAACATCCCAAATCCAGCATTTCTCACCACTTCCACCACTAACTTCATCAGGTCACCAATATTTCTCATCTAGATTATCACAAACCCCTAAATTAGTCTCTGTTCTCCAACCTTTGCTAGCTACAGAAAGCAGATAGCTTTCTCTCAGCTGCCAAACTGGTTGTTGTTATTGTTGTTGTTGTTGTTGTTGTTATTATTATTATTATCATTATTATTACCAGAGATTGAACCCAAGGGTGTTTAACCACTGAGTCACACCTCCAAACCTTTTCATTTTGAGACAGGGTATCGCTAGGTTGCTTCCAGCCTCACTAAGTTGCTGAGGCTGGCTTCAAACCTGCAATCCTCCTGCCTCAGCTGCTGGGATTACAGGTGTGCACCACTGCACCTGGCTTAGAATCTCCTGTTTTAGGAAAACTTAGTCCCTTTTAACATAAATAAAACCATGTTCTTTCCCTACTCAATATCTTCCAATAGATTTCTACTTAAGAATAGAATAGAATCCAAGATCTCACAGAATTCAGTCCTTTCTATTGTTGTGACTGAATTTTCTACCATTTTTCCCCGCACTTTGCTCTTCTTGGTAAGAAAACCAAACATGTTCATACCTCAGGGACTTTGCCCTTAAATATTAAGATCAAATGTATGTTCTTACTCCATATTCTTAACAATTCACTCTTCTTGAATGAATATTTAAAAGACAACCGCTTGCTGTGTGAAAAGGAGAGAACTTCAAGAATTAGAGCAGAAAAACAACTTAGAAGACTAGTATTTAACAGTTCAAGGGGAAAATAATGGTGGGTTGTACCTGGAAAGTATTGGCAATGAAATGAAGAGGACAAATTCTGGGCACAATTTAAAAGGGTAGCTAAGAATGGCTGATGAATTGGAAACAAGGTGAGATACAACAATCAATCAAAGACCACCCATAGAGTTTGGCATAAGCAAATGTATGGATGATGATATAATTTACTAAATTGGTATACTGAAGTAGTAGCAGACTTGACAATGTGGGAGGAATGGGGATACAAGGAATCAAGAGTTCTATTTGAACATACTAAGTTTGAGATGCCTAGTAAATACCCAAACAGCTAGACATATACTTTTTTTGTTGTTGTTTTTTTGTTTTTAATATCTATCTATTTATTTAGTTAGTTAGTTAGTTTTCGGCGGACACAACATCTTTGTTTGTATGTGGTGCTGAGGATCGAACCCGGGCCGCACACATGCCAGGCGAGCGTGCTACCGCTTGAGCCACATCCCCAGCCCCTAGACATATACTTAAAGCTTAAGAACGAGGTCAAAGTTAAATAAATAAATTTGGGACGCATCAGTACTTAAATTCATGAAACGGAATGAGATCACCCAAGAGAGAAGACAGAGAAGAGGCTGAGTGTTAGGGCACAACAGCATATAGAAATCAGACAAAGGTAGATCCAGCAAAGACTAAGAAATGGCAAGTAAAAAGGGAGAAAACTATAAGATTATGATGTCATAGAAAGCAAAAGGGAATTTTTTTTCTTTTAAGAATAACTGAATCAAGGGCTGGGGCTGTAGCTTAGTGGTAGAGTGCTTGCCTTGCATGTGTGAAACACTGGGTTTGATCCTCAGCACCACATAAAAATATATATTAAAAAAAGAATAACTGAATCATATCTGCTGAGAAGTTAATGAGAATTTGAAATTGACCATTCTATCTGGCAACACAGAGATTCCTGGTGATCTTATAAAAGCAATTTTAGTAAAAGAAGAAGGAAAAAACCTGAGTGGAATAGACAGAGGGGGAAATGGGAGGCAATGAAGTGTACATACAACCCTTGTGAATTCTGCTACAAACTGAAAGAAAACAAAGATAATAGCTAGAGGATGTTTTGGAGTACAGGGATAATTTTTTATCTGAACACTGGAGCATATTTACAAGCTAATGTGAATGATCCTATAAGGAGAAACTACTAATACAGAAAGAGAAGGAACTAAAGAGCAAAATTTTTTAGTTGATAAGAGGGATGGATGGGCTCCAGCCTCCAAAAGGAGTTGGTTCATTTTTAGAAAAAATGAAAATCAATTTACCCTCACTACAGGAGAGGAAACTATATAGGAATGTGTACATGGTAGTTTCATAAATTTCATGATTGGAAAATGAGAGAATGTATCTGATTCCTCCTATTTCTCAATAAAATACAAGGCAAGATCATTAGTTGAGGAGAGTACATTGTGGATTTAACAAGAGAGGTGGAAACAGTTATTTCAGAAAAATAATTATTTGCTACTCAGTAAAGGTACCAAATAATAATATAATATATGAAAATTCACAAATACCTTCAAAATTATAGCTATCTTCAGTTACATAGAAGTGGACACAACTTAAATGACCAGTAGGGGGTTGGTTAAACTACAGGATATAAACTCAATGGAAAATTACTTAGTAACTTAAAACAATGAAACAGAAACGTGTGTGTGTGTTTGTGTGTGTGTGTGTGTGTGTGTGTGTGTGTATCCACAGTATGTCACTAAATAACTTTTACACTATAAAATAAAATTCTACTGATGTGTTTAAAGATAAATGTACCAAGTGTACTTATAAAATCACACGGGCATGGTTTTATAAAGACAGAAAAAGGCCTGAAAGAAAATACCATGAACTCTTAACCTAGTGGGACTCAAGGCAGGGATCAGGAGAGAAGCACACAATTCCACTAAACATATATATATTTTTTTGTTTCATAGGCCAAATCCTATGTCCTTTCCACATACTAATAGTATAAACACCAAAATTCAAACAAGGATTCATATGCAAATGGTCATCTTGGAATATTTTAATGAAAAAACTAAATGTAGTCTAAATGTAAAAAAAAAATGCAACTACTAAAAATGTTCATAAAACAAAGACTAAAAAGAAGCAATCATATAACATAAGCCCATATTAAGAATTTTAAAAATATTTATTTTTTTAGTTGTAGTTGAACACAATATCTTTTTTTTTATTTATTTGCTTTTATTTGATGCTGAGGATCACACCAGGGCCTTGCACATGCTAGGCAAGCACTCTATCACTGAGCCACAACCCCAGACCATGACATAGGACTTTAATGAATAATGTGTAGTGGGGAAAAAAATTTAAAACGCTGAATACAAAATTAGATACAATATGTCCTCAGTTACGTAAAACAATATGTAAAGTAAGAGAAAAACACATAAAAATATCAACAATGGTTATCACTGGGTGCTAAGACTGTGTGTGTAGGTGACTTTCATTTCTATACTTTACCACTGCCAATTTCTCTACAATAAGCCATTATCACTTTCATAATTACAAAAATTTTATTTTAAAAATAAAAAGTTTTACTAGTAGCATTACCTTGGGATCATGAACAAATGTATTTCCTTTGGTTCCAGGAGGGAAATCTCCAGTACAAATATACTTTAGACATTCAATGATGGTCTAAAGAAATAGAAAATTATACTAGTTATAAGAGAACTGCTTAAGTTTACCATAAATATTAATTCATTACTAAAATATTTCTCATGGATATTATAAGAATGTGATTGGGAAATATTTGACAATATAAACTCATAATAAAGATAAGATTAAGAGTTTAAAGAATAATTGCTGTAAGCTCATAGAAAAGCTATATAATTTAAAAGGCATCCTAAAATAAAGAATTCGTGATTTAGAAGAAAAATATTTCCAAAACAACTGCTAACAATTACACACAGATTCCTATATGCAAGTAGTGAATTCTCCCATTAACCCTAGGCCATAGAAACTATTTTTACACCATATTATGAATCAAAACACTAAGGCAAAACTAAGACCTAAAACTAGACCTAACAGTGAAGTTAGGTCACTTGCCAGCAGTCACACAGGTAATAAATGATGAGGCAAAAAAATCTGTATTCAGGTGGTCAGTGGTCAGTACTGGTCAGTAGTGCACTTAGTACAATGCTGAGAAAATAATATACAATATATAACATTTTTTTAAAAAGAGAGAGTAAGAGAGGAGACAGAGAGAGAGAATTTTTAATATTTATTTTTTAGTTCTCGGCGGACACAACATCCCTGTTGGTATGTGGTGCTGAGGATCGAACCTGGGCCGCACGCATGCCAGGCGAGCGCGCTACCGCTTGAGCCACATTCCCAGCCCAATATATAACAATTTTACATAAATAAAAGTAGACAACAGTCCAGCATTCAACTCTCAACCTTCCCTTTCTACATGCTTTTCACAAATTCTTCCCTTAGACTCTGCTCATTCCTATACTGATAATGTTTTGCTTTTCTCAAGCTATTATTTCTGGACCAGAACACCTCTTGGCTACATTTTTCACTCAAATTTCTAATATTACCTGGGCTTTTAACAATAGCAGTAATCAAGCTCTGCTCCCACTTTAATTGGGCAAAAGTCAAAAAAACCTAAGTAACAACAAAATACAGTTCTCCAATTGCACCTAAATCCTCACTACATCAGTTTCATTTTAAAGTCATTTCTTTTTCCATTTATTAGGTTTAACAGTGGGTATCTTTACCAAGTGTATATTTATCATACTTCATAACTTTTTAAGGAATTCCTGTATGGGCCAACTACTGGGAAACGAATATTATGCTTCAAAAGCAAGGGGGCAGGGGTAAATAACAGCAGCATGAGCCAAAGTTCTTCATGTAGGACCGTGAGCGAGTTCAGGTCTCTGGGATTCTCAACGACACCTGTCCACAGGGCTGTCCCTGACACCCAAACTGCCTGGGACTGGGATGACGCAAAAGGCCACGCCCCGATGCACTTTCTAGGCCTCCAGAAGCACAGTAGTAAGTACACCTCTCTTTTCCCTAATCAGAGTTCAGAACTCCCCCAGGGATTTTACTTTCTGGATTCGTAACATGGGGCGAGTAAACGGAAGGCGGCTACTCAGGACTTACCGTCTTCCCTGCCCCATTGGGTCCAACCAAAATTGTGAGGGGGCTGAAGAAAGTGATAATTTGCTTATCTTTGTCCTCTATTCCAAAACTCCGCACGCCCAGAATGCTCATCTTTTCGATCCGGGACATTTTTGCAAACGTCTCGTGTCTCGACACCAAAGGACCTGGAGCCCACCGAGGTTTAACAGTAAGGCTGCAGCAGGGCAAGCGTGGGACGAGAAAGGCACAGGAAGGCCAAGTTCCGAGGGCGAGCAGCAAGAGGGGGCAGGGGCTCAGGCTGGAGCCCTTCCTTCCACACCGGCTTCCTTTCCGGCTGGAGGGCGAGAGGGAAGGAGACCGGCTCGGGAATACCCGCCCCAAGACAAAAGCAAAGGCCCAAGACCCCGCAAAAGCGCGAACTCACAGATTCCCGCTACAGCGGCCCCACAGGTCACGTGGGCCCGAGCGCGTTACGTCACACGCCGCACGCCCAGTGCACGCCGGGAAGCGAGGCGTGCGGCGCGCAGTAGTGCCTGTTTCCAGGTACCAGATGCTGTTGCGGGTTGATGCGGATTATAATTTCTTGCTGGTGCGGGGCAGCACGAAAGGAAGACCGTGGCTTGTGATGGGCCGCGCTGCGTTTCTCAGAGCATTATCCCCGGGACTCTTGGAATGGGGTGGAATCAATTGTGTTCCAGAAACGTCAAAACTCACTCCCATTCTTTGATGTCCAGGGGTTTCCGTGGATCACAAAAGTGTGAATACGTCATTGCAATGGAATGTGTGCCTGTATATTCTTATGGTTAAAAGAAACTCAATTTTAATTTCCAATTGATTGTGAATATTGCTAGTTATAACTCACATAAATGCCCTTTGAGGTCTACAGTAATTTTTATGAGTGTAAAGGGGCTTTTAAGACAAATCCTGAGAACTACTGTAGTAGGACTCTAAGCGTTCTGCATATATGTAGAATGTAAAGGAAATCGAGTCCTAACCGCACTTCCACAGGAAAGAGAAACCTTTTCCCCACATTGGTACCAAAGGTTGTTAGTTAGGGCCTCGCTAAATTGCTGAGGCTGGCTTTGAACTTGGGATCCTCCTCCTCTGAACTTGGATCCTCCCAAGCCAGTGGGGTTTCAGGCATGCACCACTGCACCTAACAAGGATAGACAGCTTTAAAATAAGGGAAGGAGAAATCACCTTCCGAAACGGAGAATACTGCTTTCTTGGAAACAAACTTAATGGAAGGATACAACCTATAGGTAAATCTTCGAAAATAAATTTCTGGAAGATATTAAAATTAAAAACTTTAATGCGATGGTATAATTTGCTCCTGAGATGGAAAAATGTAGGAAATGCTGTCCAACCACACAATCCAAAGAAAATAATATACAGAACCTAATACGTAAACCAAAAAATTTCATGTGTTTAGGAAAGCAGATGGGGAAAGCCAATGAGAAGTAGTCTCTTGCACTACTAAGTAAGAGAACATGAACACATCATTTATTACAAGAGATTTAAAATTATCAATGCAACAAAATGGACTGAAATTATATATTTATGTCTTAGTTGACAGACTAGTGTAATAAAACAATGGGAAAGGTTAAAGACCTTTTATCCCCAGTTTTTAAAGATGTGGTAAAATCATAAAAAAAAAAATTTAAATCCTGACCATTTTAAGAATACAGCTCGGAGGGGAGGGGAGGGGAGGGGGGATAGTAGAGGATAGGAAAGGCAGCAGAATACAACAGACACTAGTATGGCAATATGTAAATCAATGGAAGTGTAACTGATGTGATTCTGCAATCTGTATACGGGCTAAAAATGGGAGTTCATAACTTGAATCAAAGTGTGAAATATGATATGTCAAGAACTATGTAATGTTTTGAACAACCAACAATAAAAAAAAATTAAAAAAAGAATACAGCTCAGTGACATTAAATATGTTCACATCATAGTGCCACCATCATCTTCTGTCTTTCCATTTTGCAGAACTGAAACTCTATAGCCATTGAACAGTAACACCATTTACCAACTCCTGGAAACCACCATTCTATTATCTCCCTCTATGATTTTTGACTATTTTTAATAATCTTGTTGAAGTTGAATTACAATATTTGTCTTTTTGTGACTGGCTGATTTCACTGAGCATAATGACCTCAAAATTCATCTATCATGTAGCAATTGTTAGAATGTAAATCTCTTTTTTAAGGCTAAGATTCCATTTTGTGTGTATACATCACATTTTGTTTATCCATTCATCTATCTATGGCATTTGGGTTGCTTCTTTGTTTCTGGGTATTGTAAATAATGCTGTTGTGAATATGGGTGTACATATATCTCTTTGAGACCATGCTTTCATTTCTTTTAGGTGTATACCCCCCAAAAATGGATTTCTAGATAATATAGCAATTCTTTTTTTTTAATTTTTTTGAGGGACTGCCATGTTTTTTCTCACAGCAGCTGTACTTGTTTACATTCCAGTGTACAAAGGTTTCAATTTATCAACATCCTCACCAACACTTGTTATTTCTGTAGTCATCCTAGTGAGTGTGAGGTGGTATCTCATTTATAGTTTTAATATGCATTTCAATACAGTAAATGATGCTTATTGTCCATTTGTATATCTTCTTTTGGAGAAAAAGCTATTCAAGTCTGAAAGTCAAGTTTATTGAACCATAATTTCATACCATAAATTCACCATTTTCCAGAATACAGTTCCATGAGTTTTGACAAATATAAAGATTCATTCCCCACCAAGACCACTGAGAAAAAAATTTTGTGGATTTCAGAATATCAATAGGAAGAAAAAAAAAAAAGCAAGTCTATACCTTATTTTACTTATTACTGTAAGTTCCAGATAGATGAAGATATAGATACTCTAAAGGAATAAAAGGTCAGAAATGTAATTACTTCTACTTTAAAGGAGAATTTTGTGACTCAAAGTAACAAGAAATTAGTAATGACTTAATTGTATGTCTCTAATCTCAGTATGAAGTCCCCAGCATTACTCCTTATGCTGTTTTGCTTTAAAAAAAAAAAAAAAAAAAAAAGTTGGGAGAGGGATTAAGAGAGAGAAGCTTAACTTGAATCAAATCTAATCACACCTTTAGATTTAGCTTCCAGTTAACAGGAATTATAAGGATTAAGTTAACAACACTGTAAAGATGGAAAAGGTAACTCCAGAAGATGGAACATGTTATAAGATATTGGCTCAGGCTCTCAGGAGATTAGTGTCATTAAAGCAAGAACTGTTGTGGACTTTAAAGAATTGTTTGAAATTTAAGAGATTTGAGGTACACATCACCTAGATGTATCACATGCTCTTGGTTTGCACATAGACATGAGGAATATTTGGGGGACACATTAGGAAATTTGAATGAGGACTGAAAACTAGATGATAAAAAGAAGCATCGTTAATTTTATTATATTAGATGTGATATTTAAGAAAACTTTCTTGGGCTGGGTTGTAGCTCTGGTAGAGTGCTTGCCTGGTATGTATAAGGCACTGGATTTGATTCTTGGCACCACATATAAATAAATAAAATAAAGGTCCATCACCAACTTTAAACCAAAACTTTCTTGTTGTATAAGAAAACTATATTTTTGAGATGCATATGGAAGTATTAGTGATGGTGTCAAACTGTCCATTGGAGACATTAAAATACTCCAGAATAAATTAGTAAGTTGAAAAGGGAAAAAATGGAAATGACAAGGTAGCCAGATTCCATTACAAAAAAAAAATCAATTTTGTAACAATAGGAAACTATAAAACCAAGGCAAAGCTCTAGGATTGGGGTAGAAAGTCTTTTTCAGTGAGCACAACTAGATCCTAAAATAAAAAGAGCTAAAAGGTAAATCAGTCAAGTCTCCACTTTTCAGTAAACTACTTACATACTTTTGAAAAATGTTTAGTTTTGCTTGTAGCAAAATTAGTGTAATGAAAAATAAAACTACTTTATCTTATACCTTCTATGGAACTTCTTCATCCTTATAATACTTTCCAACATAATTTTTTTCCAGTATTGATATGAACCTTCTTTTGATTAGTATTGTTTGGTATATTTTTCTAAAGAATCCTTGATTTTCAAACTTTTGACATCATTTTCCATTAGGTATCTCTTGAAAAATAGCTGATAGATGATTTTAAATACAATTTTATAGTATATACAGATGAACTTGTTTTCAATTACTGACTCCTGGTAAATTTGGATTTTAAAGATTTTCTCTTTGCTTCTTTTTCTCTTAACCAGTTTTCTAGATTAATTGAGCTTCTTTTTTTAAGATAAACTTTTAAGAATAATTATTTTATTTTATTTATTCTTTTTTTTAATGTGGTGCTAAGGATCAAACATGTAAGGTCACTAAGCCATAATGCTAGCCCCTTAATTGAGCTGCTTTATTCTCTTGTTTCACTTCACTGGTTTAAGGATATACATTTTATTTCTATGATTTTAATTATTACTCTTAACGTTTTCAATGCCTGTTTTGAAATATAAAGTTAATATTTTTAGCATTCTTCTGAACATTACAGACTATAAAATGTGCCAACTCTGATCACTCCATCTCCCATGTTATAATTGTTTGCAATTTTTGTTCCTTGTTGTCTTGAAATAAGGGATAGTATAAGTTAAATAAGTTATTTTTTAAACCAGCATTACTTATTTAGCTTTACCAACAGGGTTATCAAACTCCAATTACCACTTCTTCCTTCTGAAATCATTCACTCATTAAATTCTCCAGACTGTGAAAGCCTGGTGCTAATGGACCTTCAGGTAAAGAAATCTATCTCACAGTGCTGATGTCAGAAATAAAGTTCTTTTTGTGAAAGTGCTTTATAAGTTGTAAACCAATAAGGTAAAAGGGATTTCTTCTTCGTGTATTGAAAGTTTTTAGAGAATGATATGGTGAAATGTAACCAAAACCATAAAAATGATCATATAAATTCCCTAGTAAAAAGAAATATTTTTTTTATTCTACAAAGGAGTTTCTAGTTGCATTATTTAATTTTATAATGCTAGAGAGAACCCCAAAGCCTATAAGTTAGGGAGTTGTGAAAAAAACTGGTACATCAATTTCATCTTATACCATGTAACCATTAAAACAATAAGTAGGAAACTACCTATATACAAAACTATATAGAAATACAATTGAGAAATATTAGTAAGCAAAAAAGATAAGTGCAAATTGTACATATTCATTGATTACAACACTGTAAAACTGTTTATGCATCAGTAAAGATTGGAAGAAGTCATCAAAAAATACATTTATTATGCCAAGGGGAAATTTAAATGTGTATTTTTCCTATAACTTATTTTGTTCAAAAATTCTAATGAAGATATGCTTAAGGATTGAATGAATGGAGATTAAAATAAATTCAAAAAGAAAAAGAGATGTTATCAATTAACATTTAGTCACCACAAAAGTTTTGGGGATCATGCTCAGTTGATTGATTAGGATCAGTTCATGGAAAAGTCATTTGACCTTAAATGACTACACACAGTAAAAACCACAGTTAACAGCTTAAAATTTAAAAAAAAGCCCATGTTACCAATATGCAAACCACTAATAAAGATAAAGGTTTTATGACAAAAGGCTGGATGTTACCCAATAACATACCTTTTTGAACATTATTTTTAAACACAAATTTTACATTATTATTATATATCATTTTATATATTATACATTTATATATTATACATTTATATATTATACATTTATATATTATACATTTAAATATATTTTATATACTATTTTATATATTATATATTATATATTATATATTATACATTTAAAGTACATTTAAATTATATATTATACATTTAAATTATATACTTTATGTATTATACATTCAAATAACATTATCTTATGTATTATTTCAATATGTAACATTATTAACAACATTATTCAAAGTCCTTTTTGTAAATTACATAACTACCAATCATTTTTAAAAATTCAGAGTACTGGGCTGGGGTTGTAGTTCAGTGGTAGAGCACTCACCTGGCACATGTGAGGCAGTGGGTTCGATCCTCAGCATCACATAAAAATAAATAAATAAAGTTATTGTATTAAATTTTTTTAATTCAGAGTACTGACTGCTAATTTCTTTCTATTCCCCTAAAATAATGTGGATTTTTAAAAATGTCACAGTTGTTTACATTGGTTTGGTGTCTGTAGCTAAACCTTGGGGCTTTGTTCTATTTTCCTAGAGTCCTGCCAAAGTTATTTCTGTTACTTCAATTTCCTAGCACAGGGAATAAACTCCTTGAATTTCCAGAGTATTCACATTAATTTGTTCAGCTAATACAACAAAGAGCCTACTTATTAATATAAGTAACATTAATTGTCTACAATACAGTAGATCTCAAGGAGAAGTAATAAATAAAAACCTTATTCCCAAGAAATACAGGTGGAGAGGTGCAATGGTTCCATGCATGGTATTCATGAGATACAAAGTCTTTTAAAATAATAGTAAAAATAATCATGAATGTTTTTCAACTTGCAGGGCCATCCCCTCCACACACAAACACACCCTTATGCTGGGGATTGAACCTAAGGTCTCAGCACACTCTAGGCAAGTTCTCTACCTACTGTGCCACATCCCTGGCCCACACTGTTCTTTTAAAATAAACTTTTTGAGTAATTTTAGATGCACAGAAAAGTGTATTAGAGAGAGTTCCAGTGTACCCTGCACTCACTTTTCCCCTATGTGAATATTACAGTGGTACATTTTTGTAACTAAGAAACCAACATTGATTGGTACTTTACTAGATTCCACAGATTTAAAAAAAATAGTTTTTGATGGACCTTCTTTTTATTTCTTTATATGCGGTGCTGAGAATTGAACTCAGTGTCTCACATATGCTAGGTAAGCACTCTACCACTGAGCTACAATCCCAGCCCCAGATTTTTTTTTTTCTTTTAATCTCCTTAGTATTACCTACTGTCCTCCATCTGTTCCTGAATCTCATCCAGGATATGTCCCTTAGATGCCTCTGGACTGTGACCATCTCTGAGAATGCTATTTTTTGTTTGTTTAATGACCTTAATAGTTATAAGGTCATCAAGTATTTTGTCCTTTTCTTTGGGTATGGGTAGTATTTTTCTCATGGTCAGACACAGGTTATAGGTTGGAGGGGGCCACAGAGATAAAATGCTATTCTTATGACATCACATCAAAGGTATATACTATTAACACGAGTTACCACTGCTGATATTGACCTCCATCACCTAGCTTTGGCCAAAAGTTTATCAAGTTACTCTGTGTAAAGTTTCTCCCTTATCCTCCTGTTTGATTTTTTAAAAACAAAGCCATCATGTGAATCCCACTCTTAAGGAAATGGGGATCACACTACATCTCCTTGAGGGGGGAGTATTCCACATAAGTTATTTGGAATTCTTATGCAAAGGAGATTGCAATCATCAACATTTATTTGGAATTTTATATTAATGAAGCTCTTTCAAATACATGATTTGAGGGCTGGGGTTGTGGCTCAGTGCTTGCCTAGCATGTGTGAGGCACTGGGTTCGATTTTCAGCACAACATATAAATAAATGAATAAAATAAAGGTCATCAACATCTAATTTTAAAAAACATCATTTTACAGTCCCTACTTGAGAAAATTTGTAGTCAGGTTAAGGAGGTCAGACTCATAGAGGAAAAGTTAATGACACAACAACTTTATAGGAATTTTAGCCAGGTGCAGTGATGTATGCTTGTAGCCTTAGCTATTCAGGGAACTGAAGCAGGAGAATTCCTGGAGGCCAGCAGTTGGAGACCAGCATGGGCAGCATAGAGTGAAACAAAGAAAGAGACAGAGGCAGAGAAAAGGAATATAATTTTGTACACTCATCTTCCAGGCAGCAGTATTCACAAGAGGAAAAAGTTGAAAGCAACCAAAGTGTCTATCAACCTACAAAGGGTTAGGGCTGGGAAGGCAGCTAAGTGGTTGAGTGCATTCTTGGAACAGTAGAGGACATGGATTCTAACCCCAGTGCCACCCAAACCCTAAACAGTCAAAGGGATAAACAAAATATGGTCTGTACATGCAATAGAAATTATTCAGCCTTAAAAAGGAAGGAAATTCTCACACATGCTACAACACGGACAGACATAATGCCAAGTGAAATAAGCCAGTCACAAAAAAACAAACACTATATGATTTTTTTTTTTAAGGCTCTGGAGTAGTTGAATTCATAGAGACAGAAAGTAGAAGAGAAGTTGCCAGGTGCAGCAGGAGGAGGAACTGGGAGTTACTGTCCAATGTTAGCAGAGTTTTAGTTTTCCAAGATGGAAATAGTTTGGAGATTTGTTGCACACATTCTAAATGTTATTAATATTTCTGAGTTGTACATTTAAAAAAATGGATAAGCAGTTAGATTTTGTTATATGCATTTTATAATTTTTTTAAATTTTAAAGATATATAATTTTTTATATTACACAATACCTTTATTTAATTAATTAATTTATTTTTATGTGGTGATGAGAATCGAACCCAAGGCCTTGCACAAGCTAGGTGAGTGCTCTACTGCTTTACAACCCCAGCCCAGAAATACAATTTTAAATAGGAAGTATTTTTTGTAATCAGCCTTCCAATAGGAACCCACAGTTATATTGCAAATCAGACTGCAAAATGGTACCTTGGAGCTGTTGATATTTGAAAATCAGATTATACAAAATAATCAAAATTTCAGACTTCTTTGACAAACTGGATGATCTCACAATGTAAGCCCAAGGGTATCACACCTGAGTGCTGAGAAAGCAGCACCTGCACATATCACTCACTATTCCCCTAAAAATAGTGGTTGGTTGGTTGGTGAGTTTTCTCCTTCCCAGTGAAGTCTAGAACATTGGCATCTCAATCTGCTACCTCCTCTAGTTGTGTAGCCCTATGATATAATTTAACTCTCAAATCGTCAAGATACTGGAATTATAAGCTATTTGATGATTTCCGTGAAAGCTTTATCTAAGCCCACATTTCCTCAGTGTAGCCCAAAGGTCTCAGAGGGGAAGCAGAAAGAATCCTCTCATACCCTTTGGCAAGGAAGGCTGAGCTAGAACTTGACTGTCATGTTCTAAGAGCACCATTTTAAAATACCCTTGAACCAAGACTACTACGATTTATAACACACTAATAAGAGATTCCCTATAGTGAGCCAACATTTCTCAGATTTTCAAATCAGGCATACCTAAGAGCCCCAGACTTCAGCAGGTATGCATGTATACACACTCCCCCCCACAAACATACACATTCATACACAAAAGCAGACATGGGCAGATGCCACTGGACTGGAATACTGGGGGGTTTTGTTGCTGTTGTTTTTGGTACCAGGGATTGAACTTGGGGCACTTAATCACTGAACCATATTCCCCACCCCTACCCCCTGCTTTTTTTTTTTTTTTTTTTTTTTTGAGACAGGGTCTCACTAAGTTGCTGAAGCTGACTTTGTATTTTTGATCCTCCTTGCTCAGCCTCTTGAGCCACTGGGATTACAAGTGTGCACCAGCACTCCCAGAATGCTGTGTTTTTATATAGACAATGCAGATCTGGGATCACATACATGTTAGAAGTGTATCTATCCCCTTGCTGCCTGTTTCTCATGGAGAACAGCATCCAGCTTTGGAGAAGGGTTCTGGGTCACATTTTGTGTTTGTTACCACCTGTGTTAAATGCTCAAGATAGTCCTAAAGTCAGGCTTCCAGGACACAAACACAACTACTTTAGGATGCAAATTGAAACCCTCCATACCATCATGTGTGCTGAGCCAAGAAAGAAAGACTGAGGCCTAGAAGGGAGCTTCATTTGCTCTTTTCTTGAAAATATAGGTCTGAGCCTAAGGAGCAAAGGCTGATTCCCTTGAGTACACATGTTCATACATAGCCCATCCAAGGTTTGAAAGAACCCCTCACCTAACCTTGTGGGACACACAGGAAAGGCCATTGCCCACATGTTATGTGTCTGTGACAGGTATTTATTAGTTACCATCTCAGCATCCCTGCCCTCTTACAACTACCTAGGACCCCACATTCCTCAGCTGTGTGGTTTGGGGAAATGAAGTCTACCTCTAATTCAGAGAGAACCCATGAGTATAGCTCATGCCCCTAGCCATAGTTCAAGGGTGAACACATCAACCCTTTCACAAAGCATCTGAATTGTGCTCGCTTCGGCAGCACATATACTAAACAAAGCATCTGAATTGTTCTGATTGAATGATCAGAAAAGAAAAACTGTTTTTTTTCCTGCTGCTCATGACAGGATACATATGTATCTAGGAGTTCTGGCTTCATTTTGGGGCCACAGTGGGACAGCTGCCTAAGAATGGAGTCAAGGAAGAGCCGCCAAAGCAAGTAGAACAGACAGGAACCTCCACTAGATATATGACCCAAATTCTCTGCTTATCTCTACCCTGTTTGGGTTAGGCTTGGGGTCACTGAGAACAGAAAGTATCCTAATCAAGACCCTATCGAACACAACTTGATCTTACCAAGTCTTAGTGGTCTCTGCTTTAATCACTGTCTTTTTGCCCACCAGTATTTTCAATTCTTTTTGAGACAGATCAATCCAGCCACAACCACAGTAGAAGTTAGTTCCCCTGAAAAATATTCTCATTTAGTATAAAATTCTGTTGAGCGGTTTCTATTCCTTTGTGCATACCTCTTTTAAAAGAAATTTAATCTTCTGATTTTAATTAATGCAAACATGAGATATTGATGTATATCAACCTACAAATTTTCATTTGTCATGGAAAATGTTTTTAAAAAGGAAGAAGTAGGGATTTTTCAAAAGATAAGCCAGGCAAGGTGGCACACACCAGTAATCCCAGCTACATGGGAGGCTGAGGCAGATAATCACAAGTTCAAAAATAGCCCAGGCAACTTAGCAATACTCTGTCTCAAAATAAATTAAAAATTTAGAAAAGGTCGGGCATGTACTTCAGTGATAGAGCACTTTCCCTAGCATACGGAAGCCCTATGTTTCATCCTTAGAACTGAAAAAAAAAATAAAAAGTAAATTTATTTAAGATACAAGGCATTGGAAACATTTAGTTTCACCATTTGCCATCATTAGACATTCTCTATCTGATTGTTAGAAATTATTCATTTCCTCAAAGAGAGAGAATAAATTGGTTGGGGATGCAATCTCATGCTAAGCACTTTCTTAGCTTTCTTTGCAAACTGTGAGCATTTCAAGCCATGGGGATGCTGCTGCACTTGAGTTTGGTAGCTCTTGGAGCTGCCTACACTTGTGCCTTGGCCTTGGAAATTCCCATGAGTACATTGGTGAAAGAGACTTTGACTCTGCTTTCCACTCATCAAACGGTGCTAATAGGCAATGAGGTAAGTCTTTTTCATTCCTGCATTTCTTTAAAATGCATAATTATATGTGGTATTTCATTTACTGTGTATAAAGAGCATAGGTGAAAACCACATCACTAGCAAACATAATAATGAAAGTTATTAATAATTGAGGGCTTTAAAAAATAATTATTTGACCTTTCCTTTTCCAGACCCTGAGGATTCCTGTTCCTGCACATAAAAATGTAAGTTAAATTATGATTCAACAAAACGGTCCCATGAAAAAGCAACTTTCAGATTTTACACTATAAATCATTAGTTGTCTTTGGAACTACGTAATTTTCTCTTTTGTTTTCACATGGGGTGGATGTGAATGTATGTACTTAGAGATCTTAGGAATGAGTTTTAAAATTAGAATAAGCAAGTGGATCAGGCTTTGGTGATATTTTCAGTTCTCTACCCCAAAGAACCTCATGTTAGAGTTCTTTTTTTTTTCCCCAGAAGAATCCCACAAGGGCTGAGAGGTGCCTGCTAGTCTCTTCTCAGTTCTGACCATCTATGGCCATTCTCTATCTAATATCATTCTTTAAAAAAAATCAGATATAACATTACCTTTATTTTATTTATTCATTCTTATGTGGTGCCAAGGATTGAACCCATTGCCTCGCACATGCTAGACAAAGCGCTCTACCATTGAGACACAGCTCCAGCCCTCTGTCTAATATCACTCTGAAAGTACTGTACTGGAGACCTAGATCAGAGGCTCAACTCTTGGGGTCCAAATAAATCAGGTCTGGTCACTCACCCCAAAAATCAAACGGAAAAAATAATGATGAAGAGTAGGCAAGGAACTGTACATCAAGTGTCTCAGCCCTGTCTTGGGGATACTGATAAGAACTTTAGGTTTAAATGGAGGAAGAATTCAGGCAGGGGGTGAGAGATATGCATAATTTAAAAGTCTTGGTCAAGTTGAACATTATTATCTCAATCCTGGTGATGCAGAGTGGCTCCAGGAAGCCCTCAGTACTTGAGGGAGCGATCTCTATTTGCTGCTTGGGTGTTCATCTATTAGATCTGTGATATTGAAAGGGTGCAATTTGGTTCCCCTAAATAATTATTCCTGCTTAGGGGAGTAGTCCCACCTTGGGGTGATCTGCCTGCAAGTCTTCACTGCCTCTGGAAGGAGTAGGGCAATGACTGGAGACTTCTAGGTGCTGCTCTCGGGCTCTGGAGCAGGAGGTTGTAAAAGCTGGCAGTTGAATGTCTCTGCAAATCTTGAAAATATCATAGTTCCTCTTCTCTTGGTGTCCTCTGTCTTGAAGGGGAACAAGAGAGGATAGGTAAATTTAGGATCAATAAACCTTGTATTATTATACCTGCACACAGAACTGTGTTACCCTAATTTAAGGTAATAAAGGTGACAGATGAAATGGAAGCAGAGATGCCAAAACTTCTCTGATTTTAGTTACCCATTGGGCATCTGCAGGCCCAAAGGAAGAGTCAGTGCTTTTAGAAAAAGCAGCTTTTAATTCTCTGTTATACTCTTAGTAATTTGGGCTATATTTTTAGAATCATGATCGGTAGACATTAAAATATAACAACAAATGCCCTCTCAATAATTTTCACATAGTTAAATGATTATGACTATATAATGGTATTATGTACATTTGAAACACATAATGGTCACACTCAAAGGTAAAATATACTATTTCATTAGACTAAATGAAATAAAATTACCAATCTAAACCATAAAAGAAAACACTGATGTGAGTTCTATTAGTAACATAATTGTGTTATGTGTTCATTTCCTGAACACTTTATTTCTGGTTATGTAGTTTCTTTTCTTTTTTCTTTTAGTGGTACTGGATATTGAACCCAAGGGTTCTCTTCCAGTGAACTACATCCCTTTTCATTTTTTATTTTGAGACAGGGTCTCACTAAATTACCCCGGCTGGCCTGGAGCCTCCTGCCTTAGCCTCTGGAGTCACTGGGATTATAGGCATGCACCACTGCACCCAATATTGTGTAATTTATTTTTTAAAATATTTTGTTTTTAGTTGGACACAATACCTTTGTTCCATTTTTATGTGGTACTGAGGATCGAACCC